AACTCCGAGATGAAAATGCCCCCTTGGGCGCCACACTCGTATGAGAGAGCAGACAGGTAGCTCCAGGCTCCCCCTTTCCACCTTACGAGACGCAGCACACGGCAAACGTGCTGGTCAGCAAAAGCTAACGTTGTTAGTCTGTTTACTTTAGGGGAAAATTGGTTACTTAAAATAAATAGGTGAAACATCATAAATCAGGAATATCGACAAAAACAGTAAAAAACATACAGAAATCTGAAGATCTATAGTCTGTAAATAATATACAGTGTTTTTGAATGGAATGAAATAAAATTCGTTCACTAGGTCAATATAATATTTGATGAAAAGTCGGAAACTCAAAACAGGACCGTCGCAAGAGAGAAATGGAAAAATGCTCAGGTCCAGCTCGGGGCCCCGGGTGCGCCGCGCCCGTCACACAAGAGTGTGCCCCTGGGGGGGAAATTGATTCAGGATGTTGTTCTACATGTTGTATGTCAGAAAGATACTTACTTCTGAAAGATGTCTATTAAAACTACAATTGTTCTAATAAACAAAGATTTGTCAACCTTATCAGAAAAATTTTGATGGTTCTTCGAATAGCATAGAATTGCATGTAGCCCTAATTTTGTGGGGGCGATCTCTCTCGAACTCATAATTGAGATATGTACCTATGCTCTCTGATGGGGATACAAAAACACATGATGGACTGAACAATGCTCACATCTATGATCCAGATATAATGATCAAGAAGGAAGAATGCATTAACCATGTTTCCAAAAGACTCGGCACCGCTCTTAGAAACAAAGTGAAGGAGTGGAAAACGAAAGGAAAAACTTCAGTTGATAGAAAAGCTCGCAACCTCAAGGAGGAAACAATTGTAAGACTGCAAAACTATTACCATAAAGCTATCAAGCTGAATGCACCGTACATAGGTGAAATGAAAACTGCTATTTTTGCTAGCTTGTTTCACTGTATGTCCACAGATACAAAGCCACAGCATTTCAAATGTCCAACAGGGAAAGATTCTTGGTGTTTTTTTCATCATGCTACTGCAAAAGGTGTTCCACCAAAAAAGCACTCAATGAAAACCAATCTATGCGAGGAAGTTGTGGAAAAAATTCTTCCAGTTTATGAGAGACTGGCGTCAGAAGAACTTTTGTCTCGTTGCTGCAAAGGCAAGATACAAAATATAAACGAATGCCCACACAGTTGTATATGGGCAAAATGCCCAAAATAGAAATTTGTTTTTAAAAAGAGAATCGAGATAGCTGTTACTTCAGCTGAGTCTGAATTTAATGTTGGCTGCGCAAAATCTCTTCAGTTGGCATCTCCCGATTCTTTGCTTGAAGAAAGCTAATCGCTTCAAATCGCCAAGAGAAAGGACAAGCGTCGAGAAACCCAAAAAGTATTGCAAACCTCCACTGATTCAAAGAGTGCGAATTTTGAAAAAACACAAAAAAAAGAAGTGACATATTCTGCCGGAGCATTTTAACTTTTATGCGCATTGCTTATTATAAGTTTCTTTCACAATAAATTGTATTTAAGAATTTTTATTATACCATCATAATATAAAGTATGTTAAAAACGTTATATAAATCCTTTGATTCTTGCATTTGTAATTAAAATTTTTTGTTCACCTGAAAATGTTTTTCCTTTTTTTAAAGAATATTTTGTTAATTTAAAAAAAAAAATTAAAGTATATAATTATTAAACTAGTTCATTAGACAATATTTGTAGGTATTTATATATTTAAAACAAGAAATATTTGTTCAGAAGTATCATTTGCAATGAAAAAGTAGTAAAAGTCATTTTTCTCAAAATGTCTTTTTTGACAAATTTCAAACTGTTCCAGCGAAATTAATTTTCATTCTATTGACCTGAGAAATTAATGCTATATATTTATGAATATGATTAACATTTTGTTGGAAAAGTTTTTTGAATTAAGTGAATAGTATTTTTTTTTTTATACATGATATTTTATAGCGGTATGATGAATTTTTCCCAATAATGTAGGTTTTCTACTGTTATTTGTTTCTATAATATAAAAAAATAATAGAAGTACTCCCAACAATTTTTTTAATATTACGTAATATGTAATATTTTAAAAGAATTTTGTCATTTTAACGAAATTTCAGATGCGAGAAATGATATAAAAACACAAAAAATTTTAATATATTTTTTTGAAATTTTGTATAATAGTTGTTTCTAACAATATAAAAGTATCCTGAAATTTTCAAGCAAATCCCTTGATAATTTCAAAAAAAAATGTTGAAAGTCCTTTGCCGCCTTAATGAAAAATTAATCATTAAAATTAACAGTTATAATTTTATTTGTTTAATAGTATCTAGTTTATTAGAGCTACAACTGCAGCAGCATTGCAGGTTTATAGTGGCAAAGCACCAGAACTAAAAGAAAGTAGTGGATGTGTTAACTTTGTTAGAAGAATCAATACAATTGTTGATGCAATGAACTCGGGAACACATTTAACAGCCTTGAAGCTTAATTCTCTACCATACAAGGTAATGCAGAACGGTTAATTTTGTTTAAATTTTTTGTCCCTATGTGTGTTTGTTATGTGGTGCCAGTCCCTGTAAGCTAATCCCTGTTGAGAGAAGCAAGGCAAATCCTTCAGACACACCTCCTGCGCACGTGACAAAAAATCAGTAAGAAGACGGTTTGAAACGGTCAAAGAGTACAGGCCCAATTCTAAGATGAACACTATCGAATCTATTATTTGTTTGTTCTGTGAATTGTCCATATTTGTGTAAAGTTATTTGTCAATATATAATTTTGTTTTGATTTCACAATTGAAAGCGAAGAATTTAAAAGATATAGAAAAAAAATTCACGCTTAAAGAAATAATAACTGCTTCTAACATTCTCAATGTTTCATTCGAAGGTAATACAACAGAAATAGCTAAGAATATTATGACCTTGTTACTGGATTTAAACCAAACTTGCAGAGCTTGCGAACGACGCCAACGTTTCCAGCTCTGAGTCAGAAGAAGAATTAAATAATCACAGAAGTGAAACTGAAATTTCGAAGCCAGCGCTGGGATTCTGAGCTCGAAATCGACAGTCGATTTGAGTTTTTGGAAGCCGCACCAGGGAGAGCTTTTTCTAATCTTAAAAAGATACAGCAGATAGGAATTAAATGTGTTGATTTATGCTTTTTATTTCTTTTCTTTTTAAATGAAGACTTTTATTAGTTTTATCTGTAATAAAAAGTTTGCCATAATTTTTTTTTCGTTTTTGAAACAAGGTAGAGAAATTTAACTTAGAAGTATTTCCTTTTTTAATCAATATGGAAGATATGATTGGTAAGTGTTTTTGAACTAAAATTTCAAAAAAAAAAAAAAAAAAAAAAAAAAAAAAAAAAAAAAAAAAAAAAAAAAAAAAGATTTTCAATGTGAAACTTTTTTCTTAATTCTTATCAAGAAATTTAATTTTTTTTAAAAATTTCAAATAGTTAAATTTGTATTTCCTGTAGGTATTGTTTGCATTATTTCTACTTTTAAAAACTATCGCAACTTGTAATGTGGAATATTTAAATGGAGCTACTATTCATAACTCTTTAGTACATTCATAAGTTACGAGGAGGTGCATTAAGATTTTTTGCAACTGGTTCATACTAGCAGTCTGTAGCCAATGAATTCACGTTGCAGATAAGTCAACCGAGCACAAGTAGAGCCGTGGGGAGAATTGCAAAAGCCATATTTCTAAGGCTCTACAAAAAGTGAGTGGTTTTTCCCAGTAGTCGAAGGTAATATTTACTTTTAACAATAGTTTTTAACTATGTATTGCTTAATTTGGCTGTATTTTTAATAAGTATAGACTGAATTTTATACTCGAACAATTAGGATTCTTGGTTTTCTCTTTAAGAAAAATTATGTCAATAAATTTCAATGTTAATATAGCTTTTGCTTTTCAGGGACATGCAAGACCCTAAATTAGAGTTAATGCGTTTGGCAAACTTTCCTGGGGTGATCGGGGCAACGCATGTTGATATTTTAGCTCCACCGAAGAAGGACACGCAGTATCCTGAGCATATTTTTGTGAATAGATACTCGACACATTCAATAAATGTTCAAGGGGTAAATATGTGCTTTCTATGTATCTTTTTCTTCCAAGTGGGAGTGAAAACTTTTAAATGAAGTTGAACTGGGAAATTTTATAAATGTATTTACAAATAATTTCTGTATCAGAAATTTTTAAGGGGACGTTCAAAAGGAGTAAAATTCGTAATATATTCGATTTTTAGATTTAAAAAAAAAATTCACTCTTTTCTGAGCTTTATACAACAAACAGAATTAAAATTGAAGCTTTAGTTGTTGAGTTATAAGAGCTTCAATTTGTAAACAAACAGCTGACGTGGAACATGACAACGAAACTAGCTCCGTTTCTGCTTCAAAATTGAGTCGTGGAAAGCGAAACTAACTTTTTCACACTTTAGGAAATACTCTTAGCTCACATAGAATTATTTATTTATTAGATACTTATTTATAATGAAATCTGGCATCACAGTAACTACAACTGCCACTTTCATTACGAATTTGTTGCAATTGTTTACAGTTTGTTTGGTTTTTATTGTTATTTTTATTTCTTTATTGTTAATGTTTACTCATCGATTTACAAAATAGAAAACATCAGTTCTCGTTGTAAAAAGCCAGTAAAACGATCTACGAAGTGTGGCAAAGATATTGCTGCTGCTTTGAAAGCTATTGCTTTCAGAAAGTGACGATATTCCAGTAAGAAGTGAAAAAAAAAAATTTTTTTGAAGTTCCTTCTGAAACTGAAAAAACAGTTGAGGTGAAAAGTGATTGTTTTTCTACCTCCTCTTGCAGCTACATCATGATAAGTATGACTGCATTCAAGCCACTCACTACTACGTAATTTGTGTGATAAATGAGAAAGCTTTGAACTGAATGTTCGAAGCAAAATGTCATATGGATATTCTGTAAACTTGGAATTGCTTTGACAGATTTGTGATAAAAGCTTTGGGTGTACTTTTTCCAGTGAAAGACAATCTCACAGTCGTAAGTATGATACAAACAACAAAATTGTACAAGCTTTTGTTGGCATTGGCAGGAGGCATTCTGCTTTGGAAACATTTTCCATTGCTATGGGAACCTCAACTATGGACACAAAAACATTTTTTAAGCATTTTAATTCCTTATCTGAGCAGACAGGAAATTTCAAAACAATTGTTTTGAAAAAAAGCTGCTGATGCTGTGCGAAAGGCAGCCACCGATGGCAGTATACAATTGACAATACCGTATCTTATGATGGTACCTGGCAGAAGAGGCGACACACCTTCCTGTATGGATTTAGATTAGTAATCGATACCCTTACTAACTTAGTTTTGGATTACGAAGTTTTATCGAAATACTGCTCACAGTGTACTGTTGCTGCTAGAGACTTGGGTGAATCAAGTGCTGAATATAATATTTGGTAGGAAGCCACAAATCTGCTTGCCAGAAGAACTTTAGTGGTTCTTCTAGTAGTATGGAAGAAAGTGCTGCTTTGATATTATGGAATCGGTTCTTAGACCGAAATAACATGAGATATACTTCAATTCTATCAGATGGAGATTCCAAAACTTATTTGAGTTTATGTAAAGTAAAAGTATAAAGAGATGATACTTCAATATCTAAAGAAGAATGCATAAATCATGTCTCCAAAAGGTTAGGCACTGGTCTACGAAATAAAAGTAAAAGAGTGGCGCGGTAAAAATGTAACACTTGGCGAGCGCAAGCATGGAAGTCTAAAAGATGCAATTTTAAAGTTACAAAACTTCTATCGCAGAGCAATTGAAGATAATGTGCCAGATATCAAAGAGATGAAAGCATCAATTTTGGCCACCTTACATGTCCACCGACCAAAAGCCACAACATAATAAGTGCCCTACTGGAACATCTTCTTGGTGCTTCTATCAAATAGCTCTCGTTAATAACGAAATGTCGAGGAGCTATAAATTTATGAAAACCTCCCTTACTGAATGTAGAGGTTGTGGAAAAAATTCTTCCTGTTAACCAGCGACTCGCTTCAGAAGACTTACTGAAGCGATGTATGGCTAGTAAAACACAAAATGCAAACGAAAGCTTGCATAGCTGTATTTGGAGCAAATGCCCAAAAGGAATGTTTGTCTCTAAAAAAAGATTGGACTAAGCAGTTGTCAGCGAATATTATTTCGGCTGTGTGGAAACTTTAAAATTAAAGAGTAATTTGACTGCGTCAACAGAGAAATAAGCTCAGCAACGTGACTCGAGCAAAAAAAGAAAGTCGTCTCCAGCCTTCAAAGATACCAGAAATTGTAAAAAATACACTAAAAAAAAATTCTAACGAAAGTTATAAGTCTGGTGCATATTAATTCCTATTATAAATTCTCTAATGATTCAAATCATTCCATAAATTTTCCTGTTTTCGGAAATTTAAATTTTTTTTTTCGTTTTGTATATAATTTTATACTTATTGCTTATTGGGTAAATATTTTTGCCAAATTTTTCTCTTAAAATATGTTATAATTTCCTACAAATAAATATAGATAAGTTCAGACAGTGTTTGAATTTGAAAGATAAAATTATTGTTTATTGATCATATTATGTTTTCGTTTTATCACTGTTTTTGCTACCATTTCAAACCTAAATTTTTTTTAAAAAACAGTGTACTTTGAATCATCAATCTAAATAAACGTTTAAAACAGTATATAAATTGTTAAAGATATATTTTAAGTATATATATAATGTAAATTTTACTTGTGAAACAGTTTTAATGAAAAAAAAATGCTTTTTTCTCAGAATGAAATTTTTTAACGTTCATCCAATTTCGAAAAGTTCCTTGCACATGAGTTTTTATTGTATTGCTTTGAAATTTTTATCATAGACACTTTGCTATGTTTTCAATATATTTTTAAGTTCATTTAATTAATATAACTAGAAATTTAATTTTAAGTCTTTTCTAAATGATTATTTTTTTGTAAAATGAGAGGACAATATAAAAATTTCTTTCTCATACATAATTTTGCATCCAATCATCCTCCAAACCACTTAAATATATAAAAGTACTCATGAAATTCTAATTTCAGTATAAAAAAAAATTAAAAACACGTGCGAGAGGCACTTTTTACGTAAAGTAATAATCTCTCTATTCTAAAAAAAAGTTTTTGCAGTTAATTTTGTCCCCTGAAAAACTTTTTAACTACGTGATGAAAATCTAAGATTAAGGAATCAATTCATTCAGAATCTTTCAGGAAAGACATTTAGGGCATTCAAATCTTTTACATAATTTTAAATTTTTATTTATTTTAGTTTTAAAGCACGATTTTGCAGTTAATAATGAAGAATAACCGCCGTTCACAACAGCCAATCACATGTCTGAAAACGGCAAGCTTAAAAAAGCGATTTACAAGTCTGAATTTTCTTTTTCAGAGATGCAACCAATCACAAAATAGTTAGAATTTCATTCTTCAGTTTTACAACATCTCAACTTATTTCGTATTGATATATTGATTAATCTGATTATTTGTTTTCTAAAACGATAATTCGTAAGTTTAATCTGGTTTTAAATCTTAATTCGATTTGTTTATTTACAAGTAATGCCTAAAAAGAAAAGACCTAACATTACTAAAAAGTCGCAACTCAATGCGAAAGCTAATCGAAAGCGGGAAAAACGTTAACTTCATAGTATAGAAGAAAATAATGCTCTTTTGCTTATACAACCTAATGATGATTCAACTAACAAAAAAAAAGTTAAACTAACAAAGGTTGAGCTAAAAGAGAATGTGTGTAATTGCTACACAGTCGCAACAACATCGACTTTCATTTGCCCACATCAAACCAGACCTGTAAATACAGAAAATGTGGTTGGAATGCACACTGTACCAATTCGCTTTCGCAATGTTGACAATGATATGGACCAAAATCCTATTCCACCTATTTTAAAATCAAAACAACATGAGTTTGCTGGTGATTTATCGAAATTGTTACCTATCAAAGTGGCAAAACATAGTCTTGGCAAAATGTTTTCAAAATGCAGTTATTGTGGAGCTTTGAGATTTGCTTCTGCAAAAGGGCGCTCTGTTAATTCTTAATTCTTTTCGATGATAACAGTTAATATTCAAATATATGAAATCAAAGCATTCTTGGTTTTGCGAAGCAAACCAAGCAAGAATTGCAATTCTCCGGGGGTTGGCGAGCGTCAGCGAGCAGGGGGCGGAGCCCTCTAGTTTCGTAAAATAAAAACTTATAATCAGCCATAATTCAAAAAGTTATTATTATTTCCCTCTGAAATTTTGTACATGCACTATTAATATTACTACAAATATTCTGTAAAAATTTCAGATTTATAGGATAAAAATTCTAAATTTGGATTTTGAAGGTCAATTGTCCCCTTATAAACAACTACAATAACTAAAAAGAAGCTGCTTTATCAACAATTTCTGATGAAATATTTGCATTTTAACATTTATTTTGTAAAATTAAAAGAATATATATTTTTTAACCAACCAAAGGTGGGAACCAATTAAAAATTATTATAAAACAGTAAAGAGGGTTTATAATTTGTATAAGTTTTACTAAATTTGAAAAATAATTGAAATATTGACTAGCTTGAAAAGGCAATTTAGCTTAGTTTTAAGAGTAGATTCTATATAATGTGTAATAAGTGTTATTTCTAATGTCATGCGTAATAATTAAAAGCAAAGTGAAATTTTTAGTTTAAAGAATTTAGGGAGTATATAGAAGAGCATAATATTTTTTAAAATTTAATTTTGCTTTGAATTAAAAGGATTTTTTTTTTATCATAGGTATGCAGTGCAGACATTTTGATTTTCAGCAGTAACGCTCAATTCCCAGGATCGTCGCACGACTCTCATAAATGGAAAAATACAGCTTTGCGCTTAAATGTAATGAATATAGTTCAACAGGAACCAAATTCTTGATTGACAGGTAAGTCAAGTACAGCTGAATAAAAGATTGCAAGAAATGGTTCTCAGTAATTAAGTGCTTATAATGTAAAAAGGAATTATTTCAAAGTAGCTCATTAAAGTGATATTTTTTTTAATTATTTACATAATATACATCTTATACACTTTTTTAAACTGAATTTTATCACCATATAACTTTTAATATTAACTATTTTAAGAGCTATGATTCAGTTTTGGTACAAAAAACTTTCGGATAAAAGGGAGCTAATATTAAATGCTAGTCAAATCAAACGATTTGACAACCTCTTATACATGTATTAAAAAATACTTCCAGGTGACAGCGGGTATCCATTAGAACCCTGGCTAATAGTGCCGATTCTGGACCCAACAGAGAACTCACCAGAAGCAAATTATAACAAGAGTCATAAAAAAGACAAGGAATTCTTTCGAGCGATGTATAGAAGTGCTAAAGGCAAGGTTCTGTTGCATTCCATGAGGAAAGATTGTTGTGATATAGCCCACCGGTAGAGGCAGATATCATCTATGCCTGTATATCATCTATACCTTTATAATATTTGTAGATATCACAAACTGCTAGACCCCTTAATTCCACAGAGGCCGATCTCCCATCTCCAATAATTGATGTCTATGCTGCATGATCCAGAGTGCGACAGCAGTTGATTCAAAACTATTTATAAGTTCTGAATAAATAAGAAAAAAATTTAAAACTTAACCCTGAAGGGGCCCACGAGCTATTTTATTTAAAACGTTCGTCGCCACATTACTCATGTATGGCTCTCATTCTTTTTTTTAAAATTATAGGGTTTTCAGTTGGATTTTTGAAAATGGTTTACAGAAATAAGTTCTGGAATTTAAGTATAGGAAACAGAATATAACAAAACTAGAAATGTACACATTATTCATGGCTGATATTTTATCTCGCCTTGTTTAGGACCTCAGATTTTGGTCTCGCAAAAAACTCAACCAAATGCAAAGCTGGGAGACGAACGTGTTAAGGATCTTTTAGAAGCATCAAGTATTTTTTTTCTCCGTTAAAGAACGATTCATTATAACAAGATAACTTAGTATTTTCTATAATTATTTTTAAAAAGTTATCGGAACCAAAAATTGTGGTCAGGGGAAATATTAGGCTATTTCAAACCTCTGGTTTAGAAAACACTGAACCATAATTCCTAAAGCTTTTGTAGGTTTTCAATAATAAAAGACATAATTTGCACTGAGACTATAAAATAACAATAAAGAAGTAAATTCGGCATTTGGATTTATGCTTAAAATAACAAGTCCATAACATATAATTACATAAAAATGTGCTAATTTTCTTTATTCTGATTCTGTAATTGCAGGTGCAACACATACGTAGTTCCCTACATTCGTCATTGTTCGTGCAGAATTTTCATGAGTATCCGCCAGTTTCTCCATGATCGTAGCAATACATTACCTCTCAGCAATTTTAACATTCGAATCAAGAACTTTCTCTTGGTTTATTTGTAGGACTTGCAACAGAGTGTCATTGTTGCTTTTTGGCCTTTTAATAACACTTTCACATTCTTGTGAGCTTTTCCTTTTGCTTCCACAAGGGTACCATAAAAACTGAAAATGGGATATAAGCAAATACTTAGGTGAATAATGAAGTATTTTTAAAATCTTTTTTAACATAAAACTAATATGGCTTAACATGATAATTGTAATATTTAGTACATAAATTGCTTGACAAGTGTGATGTTGCTACATCACACGTGCGTTGTTTTTCTACTCCTCAATAGTTTTTTCAGTTTTCGTTCTTTTTAACCGCAATAGCCTTTTACTTCATTTAACTTGTTTGACTCTTTTTTCGTANTTTTATAGCTATGAAATATACTACAATTCACTAGACTTAAAATCTTTTTTAACATAGTAAAACTAATATGGCTTAACATGATAATTGTAATATTTAGTACATAAATTGCTTGACAAATTAAATATTAAAAATCTCTCAAGGTGAATTTTTTCTTATAGCTAAAATTTTGTAAAAGTTTTGTTAAAGAGAGTTCAAAACATTATCCATGTAACAAAGAGGTCCATATAATGAACTGTGAAGTTTATCTTTTCATCATTTGTTTGGTATTTAGATATAAACACAGTAGAAGACACCATTGCTTTCTTGAAATTGATAAAGAGATGGTGATAAAGAGATCTTAAGTGTTTCGCGCGAGAATAAAGAGATTTTCACATGAAGTTTTGACTCTCTTCCACTCAGTGAAACAAATACTGAAATCTTTCAGTTTTTGGAAATTTTTTTTACTGTGGATAAAAATGTGGCAAGAGATGTAGCAATTGCCAAAGAGACATTTCCAAAGAGACATTTTTTGCCCTTATTCAAGCATCAACAATTGTGGCCATATCAAAAAGACTTTTGGAAAATGGTGCAAGATATGTGCAAACTACCAAATTTCATAGTGATATCCTGGAATTCCGTTTCTCACGGTATCGCCAGTTGTCTGGTTCCAATTATCATGTCACTCACGGGCAGCAATAGTGGCACAACTCAAAAAACACGCGTTTTGGACTAAGAACAGGTGTCAATATGAAAATACACATTCTTTCAGCAGCAATACCAGCACAACTCATAATTCAACTTGAAAGTAATCTTCGCTTAAGCAAACTAAAGCATTTCTTATGCATTTTATTTAGCATTGAAAACTTTAAACCCACTTATCTCAAATCTCAAAACATGATTTTTTGAGTTGTGCCGCTATTGTAGCCTGTTAAATAGGAATTTAACATTTATTGTGACAACACTTTCGAAGAATAATATCGCACCTCTGCACAAGAACTCACAAATCTTTTCTCACACATTTTAAAGACATTCTAGTTTCAGTTTCTAAACAGAACAACATCGAATACAGTGTCTGAGGAGAGCTTCTCATTCGGCCTACAATCATCTCTTATTGGAAAATGAAACGGTAAAGGAGCCAATCAGATGAAGGAATGAGAGGCTTGAAATTCCGCTAAAGATGAGGCGAAATGGTGTCGGGCTGATAAGCCGAAGAAGTAATAAAAAGACTTTTCTTTATTTGCTTCTGCAAAAGGGCGCTCTGTTAATTCTTGCTGCCATAATGATAACATACATATACCTCCGCTGCATGAATATCCTTTATTTTTGAAAAACTTACTTCTTTCTGATGAGCAAGAAGCAAAATTATTTAGGCAAAATATCCGTGTATACAATTCATCATTTGCGTTTGCCACTTTTAGTGCTAAATTTCTTCAAGATGAAAGCAGAGGTCCACCGTTGATAAAAATTCAAGGACAAGTATATCACCATGCGACAACATCCCTAAATTCAGCAACCAATGCTCCAAGGAATGGACAAATATATATTTATGACAGTGTTGAGGAGGCTATTAAACTACGCATGAATTTAGACAATCTTCAGTTGACAAGGCATATTGAAAAATTATTAAGGGAAGTCAATCCATATGCACAGAAATATCGGATGCTCAGAGATTTAACTATTCATGATAGTGAATTTGTTTTACAATTTCAAAGATTTATATTCGATGATAAAAGAAGATACAATAAACCTACTTCTTCTGAATTAGCTGCCATTATTGTTTCCAAAGATGGTGTTGTTCCTGTATGCGATTTAACTGTATATCCTAAACAAGAAATAAGAGAAACGAGTATAATAAACCAAAGATCTCAACATGCTGATCCTATGGTCTTTCCTTTACTTTTTCCTAAAGGCGATTTAGGATGGACTTATCAAATGCCTTCGCAAAAAGGAAAACAAATAAGTCCAATTCAATATTATGGGCATAGGTTAGCCTTACGACCTAATGGTCCTTTTAACCCGTTATTGCATGCTGGAAAATTATCTCAGCAGTATGTGATAAATTGCTATTTGTTGGTTGAAAGTC